CTTACACATGGATTGTTGATATAAGAGCTCCAGACCACATGACTTGTTCTTTAAATAATCTTTCTAATCCTATAAACACTCCTTATCTTCCTCTTGTCAAGCTACCTACAGGTGAGGTGCACCCATCACCCATACTGGTGATGTTATTTTGTCATCCTCTTTTCTTAAAAATGTTTTTTGTGTACCTTCCTTCAAACACAACCTTCTTTCTGTTATTGCCCTTTTATCTATATTTTAATTGTATCGCCATATTCACATCAAGCTTTTGTTTCTTTTAGGACCATATCAACTTGGAGGACAATTGGAGTGGCAAAGCGTGAGGGAGAGTTGTATCTATTTCAGTCAACTTCCTTTGCTCTTAATGTTCAGCTTCCTTCTACTTTTGACAATTGGCATTGGCATCTTGGACACTTGTCCCGCCTTAGATTAAATGTGCTTTTCCAATTCAATAAAGAAATTGTTAGTAATCAAAACTGTTTGTGTGAAGTTTGTCCTTTGGCAAAACAACATCATTTGCCCTTTCCTTCTAGTAAAATATCTACTTCTACCCCTTTTGAATTAATTCATTTGGATGTTTGGGGACATTTTTCTCTACATTCGTTATCTGGTGCTAAATATTTCCTTACAATTGTTGATGACTTCTCTCATTGTACTTGGGTTTATCTTATGCGTTTTAAGTCTAAAGTAACATCATTCTTAAAGCAATTTATTGCTATGGTGAATACTTAGTTTGGATTCAATGTTAAAGAAATTCTTAGTGATAATGCACTTTAGTTTTTTACTTCAAACTTACACTCATATCTTACTACTCACAGAATTCTTCATCAAACTGGTTATGTCTACACTCCACAACAAAATGGTGTCGTGGAAAGAAAACCTAGAATTTACCTGAAGTTGCAAGGGCATTGTGGTTTCAATCCAACCTTTCTTTACAATTTTGGGGCAAGTGCATCTTAACTGCAGCCTATTTGATCAATCACATATGCCTACTCCTTTACTTGGTAACCACACTCCTTTTGAAGCTTTATATAATGTTAAGTATAGTTATAATCATTTACGAGTGTTTGGCAACTTATGTTTTGCATACAATCATCACCATCCAAATAAATTTGCACCTCATGCTCATGAATGTGTTTTTCTTGACTATCTTTTTGGACAAAAAGCTTACAAGCTTTATGACTTGGACACCAAAATGTCTTTACCAGTTGAGATGTCATCTTTCATGAGACTGTGTTTCCTTTTAAGAATAAACCTCCACTTGAAAACAATCATATTGTACTACCCTTACCTATCAATGATATTGAGTGTAGTCTCACTCCTCAGTCATCACCCTTTTTTTTTCACCGACCTTGCCAACCTCACCAATTAATTCACGGCCACATGCATCACCATCATCACCCTTACAAAGCTTGTTATGGTCTCCTGTCCACTCGTCCTCACCTTGTCACCCACAAATTCGCCTCCTGTCCAGCCTATAAGGCATTCTACTAGATCTTGAGTTTGTCCAAGATACCTCTCTAATTATCAATGCTCGCTT